TCGGCATTCGTTCAGCTTATGGGACGATGTTTCGCTTCACTTTCTGTTAGATATTTTCTTCATTCGATTCGTAATCCGTAGTGTCTGTTTTATCTATCAGGAAGTTGGCAGTTGAAGCTGCTGCATCTGCAGTTTGCAAAAGTGGAGCCTCTAAAGTTGGAAGCATCTTTTATGTCTGAACGGGCTTCTCTCTTTCAATCATCTATCGGGTTGTTAGGAGAGTACTGTCCTATATCCAGAAAAAGGAGTGGTCATACATCTCACAAAGAGGGTGGTTGTATGCATCTGGAATCTATTGAGGCTTACAACACTAGCAGCTTGGGTTTCCATTTGTGCTTCTACTGATAGATATTCCCTGTCTATTGGGTGCTTGCTGCTCAAATCACAATGGCTTTGCAGAACATTGGTGCTTCCAACCGTGACGATGCCTTCTACAGGTACAAGATGCCAAAGATGGTTACCAAGATTGAAGGCAGGGGCAATGGCATCAAGACCAATGTGGTCAACATGGTTGACATTGCCAAGGCCTTGGGAAGACCTGCTTCTTACACTACAAAGTACTTTGGTTGCGAGCTTGGTGCCCAATCCAAGTTTGATGAGAAGACTGGAACTTCACTGGTGAATGGGGCTCACGACACTGCCAAGCTGGCAGGACTTCTCGAGAATTTCATCAAAAAGTATGTCCAGTGCTACGGTTGTGGGAACCCTGAAACCGAGATACTCATCACGAAGACACAAATGCTCCAACTGAAATGCGCAGCTTGTGGGTTTATCTCGGATGTCGATATGAGAGACAAGCTCACTTCTTTCATCCTGAAGAATCCTCCAGAGCAAAAGAAGTCATCGAAAGACAAGAAGTCACTGAGGAGAGCTGAGAAAGAAAGGTTGAAGGAGGGTGAAGCAGCTGATGAGGAGATGAAGAAGCTCAAGAAGGAGACTAATAAGAAGAAACCCACCTCAGGTGCTCCAACAAAAGACAAAGCTTCGAAGAAGAAAGGCCAAACGCATACGTCTGATGAAGATCGCTCCCCTCCCTGCAACCAAGCTGTTGATGAACTCAAACAAGCGGGCAGTGATGATGACGATGGCGATGACATCCAGTGGCAGACCGATACCTCTCGGGAGGCGGCCGAACAACGGATGAAAGAACAGCTCAGCGCTGTTACAGCTGAAATGGTGATGCTGTCTACAGACGAGGACAAGAAAAAGACTGCGGCTGAGAAGAAGCTTCCGCAAAAGGACAAGCTTGTCAACGAGATAAAAGAGCTTCTGAACAATGGTTCAACTCCAACCCAACTGAAATCTGCCCTAGCCTCACTCACCGCCTCACCTCAGGAGAGAATGGACGCTCTGTTCTTGGCATTATTTGAAGGTATAGGGAAGGGCTTCGCCAAAGAAGTGGCGAAGAAGAAGAAGTATATCTTAGCCTCGATGATGGAAGAGGAAACCGAGACATCGCAGAAGGTATTGCTCGAGGCTTTAGAGAAGTTCTGCGGGAAGGCGAGTGAGGAGGCAGTGAAAGAGGTGGCACTTGTTCTGAAAGGTCTTTATGACGATGACGTGTTGGAGGAAGAGGTGATTCTCGATTGGTACAAGAAAGGGATTTCCGGTGGGAAAAGCTCGGAGGCGGTGGCGATGTGGAAGAAGGTGAAGCCGTTCGTGGAGTGGCTTTTGGAGTGCGG